TATCTCTCTGTAGTAGTATAGTATATATATATATATATATATTGTATGTATGTAGTATTTTATTATTTATTATATATATATATGTGTTTGTGTATGNGTGTAGTATATTTATTATATATATATATATATATATATATAGAAATATATATATATATATATGTATGTATGTATGTATGTCTATATATATGCATAAATATATATATATATATATATGTATATGTATATTTGTATGCATATATTTGTGTATGCATGGATGTATGGATATATTTGCGTATGCATGTATGTAGGTTTGTATGTTGGTATGTATGTATGCATGCATGCATACATGTATTCACGTATTTAATTTTATATGTATGTATGTATGTATTTATGCTTGCATTTTTTTATCTATCTATCGATCTATGGGTATATGAATGTATATATATATATAGGTATGTATGTATGTATGTATGTATGTATGGAAGTATGTACATATGTATATATATATATATGTGTGTGTGTGTGTGTACGTATGTATGTATGTAACTATATATCCGTTTCATTTTCAGTTTTCGTCTAGAAGCTGCTGTGTTCTGGAGGTGTATCACTAGAAATTCACATTATCTAGTACTGTCGACGTTTCGTTTCCATGACTTTAGATTCACTTTACATTGTGCACCATGCTTTTAACTCAAGGAAGGAGCGATAGAGAAACGAGATGCCTGGATTGAAATTCTTGTTCTTATGGATGGGGAGGAAACTCAAGGAGCTAGAAAGTCGTTGCTGAACGTTGTTGAATTTCTTCAGGTAAATAAATCTGTTATTCTATATCCTTCATAAAATAGAACTTTGTGGTATATTTGTATTTTTTTCTGAGAGTATACGTCCGTTTGGATTCAAATCTCATCTGCGCTTCTCCTTTTGGCGTTCTAAGCGCCAGTGCATAATACTTTCTGGCAAGTTGGCACTCTTCACGGAGACCTGAGATATAATGATAAAAATATATAATGTAAATTTGGTCACATTTTACCTGCAGGATTTGAATTTTCTCTTTACGTACATCATACATCATATTCACAAAACCTAACAAAATATGCATAGACAACTATATTATTTTACAGTAACATGCTCTCCCGTGTAGTACGCATATCTTTTGGTTGCGTTCGCGGTGCATTTCATTGCGCCAGAGCTCAGAATATGCTAAACACTTTTCCGAGTGATTATGTGCATCGGAAGATTGGGCCAAATGTAGATGTATTCGAAAGACAACCTAATACGCGCAAAATCTCGTCCACCATGCTACATTCAGTTATTCTCACGTGCAGCACTTATTTGTTTTGTTTTTGTTTTTGCGGAATTGTTCAGTGCGCCAGAGGCACTGAAGAGGCTAAAGATTTCTTTGAGTGCATTCTGTCCATCGGAGGTCTAGGTCAAGTAGAGGGAGCCCAGGCCATTGTCGACGCTTTGCAAGACGAGATGGTGAGTTATTGGTGGCCTTGTGGAACTTAAGATATCCTTTATGTAGCGTGGGGTAGGTTGGCAATTCTTGATGTCCGACAGGCCATGCGTTTGTACCACAGGGGATGCGTTTCATGTTTGAATGAGTGATGGACTTTTATTATGCTTGTGACCGCACAACAGCGTTGCAAACAACAAACACGACTGCAAGTATCTACCTACGTGACTGAGCCGCTGGAGAAAGTTCTGCGGGCAAACTGGGATTCGCCCAATCAGATCCTCAAATGCCCCTATGACTGGAGACAATGCACAAGCACACTAGTTCGCCATGGAAATGTCTTCTACTGCATTGTTGACTTGCATTCACAAATTCTTCGCAATGTTGCAGAGCTAGATTGAAATATCTCTGCATCCTCACATTCACTCAATTTGCTTGATATTTTGACAATCGCTAGGTTCACCACGCTCTGGAAGGGTTTGCAAATTCGCTGGAGAACCCTCGTAAGTACCATCTGGATTTTTTGTGTTTTAGCAGTCGTTGACACTGTGTTGACGCCCGTTTCATCTGGTCTCTGCGTGCGTGTGCTAAATAATCTACTTCTGAATGTATACTAGCCCTCAAGGGAATTTGGGATATTTTAGAATCAGAAATATTCTATGGCGGCCCCGTACTCTTTTCATCATCAAGAGCTCGTGCATGTTCTGTGTGGTGTGTAGTGCGCATATGCCTGTCGCATAAGTTCTGGATTGTGCGCTGTAGATAAAATTTTGCCTTGTTGAAGATCTACTTGTGCGATAGTAGTTTTTTCTTTAGTTTGTATGTATTTCCGTAATAAATGATAATAATTTTTCTATATATCATTCGAGTGAGAATTGGCGTTTGCTGTGGCTCTTTCCTTTTGGCGCGCGAACTGTAGTCGCGTAACAAGCTAGAAGCAAAATCTCGTTTTGACTTGTATTTGTCATATCTTGAGACTCATTGGTATTATCCACTATTCATATCACTGCAGAGAAAGAGAAGGTTACTTTTGCCATCGATACAGTGGTTTGTGCCTTCGAAGAACACAGGGGATCACAGTCGGCCGCCGCAAAGCTGTCAAATGTGCTAACACCGATGAGCGAAGTATGTTGGAGTATATACGTACAGTACTTCCAAGTAGAGGTCCATCGGTATAGCTGAATGCATCCAGCATAGTCCACCTTGCATTTTATTCGCGCAACAGAAGCGCGCCATCGTGTGCCTGATCGTCGTACTCATACGAGATTAACTTGTCATACTCTGAGCGCATATTATCTTCAACCCGCTTACGTATTCACCTTATTGGTATTAAACAGGAAGAGGGCATGCTATCAGCGATTCTCAACCAATTAGAATACAATTTCGAGGCGTCGGGTGAAGACCTCATCAACATCGCCATCAAGTACGTCGTTGTGACATTTCAGTGATTCTAATATATGATTTTCCACAGCATCCTGATGGATTTGGTTATCGCGTCGTACACATATATGGGTTTTGTGATACATTCTTCGCAGCGCATGTGGCGGTTCGAGAATGTGCTTGAAATCATAACCACTAAATGAACAATCGCCGGACACACAGACACGCTCCTAACTCAGCTTTTTCTTGCGGTTGTATGAAATCTGTAGGGATCCCATGAATTTTTCCCAAAAATTGATTAAACAAGTTTTATGGCCTGTATTATCCGAACGACTGAATCGCATCGAGGTACCAGGTATATAATATAAGTATCAGGAGAACACAGCTTATTGACTCCGACAGCGTGTGTTGCTTTTTTACCTATTGTTTGTTCTGTTCTAATAGTACCAGTAGTGTGAAGGCGAATGCAGCGATAGGCACGGGAAGTTGGCTTTATATAATTTGAAAGGTGTAGATGGATCGCTGGAGAACGTATTGTTACACTTTGAATAGCCATTGCTACCCGGTGACTGTGGTGTCAGCGATAGAGTTGTGTATATGTGATGCTAGACCTTTTAAATTGGTACCTGTGGCGCAACGTAGACTGGATAGTGAATCTGTCATTACAACCGCTTTCGTTTTTCTTTCTTCCATAAATCCATCCTTGTTAAATGTGATACGAGACATATCTGTTCTAATGTCCCTGTTGATAAAAAAGAACTGAGGTTTTCTTCATGGCACCCAGCTGTTCATCCTACCCGCGGAGGGCTTTTGCATATGTAGTCTTGGTTTTAGTTTTAACTGAGCGTCGTGCCTTCATCCTTCACCCGTTTCAGATGTTTCAGAGAAGAGTGGCAAGGATCTATATGAAGTGTCTGATATTGTGATCCACGTCACATCCATGCCAAAGGTATGCAGGTCGAAGTGCTTGAAGCAGGACGACACATGCATCAATACTGTATGCATTTGTATATCGACCTCGCAGAAGGATATCCATAACCGTGGTTATGCCGCGAATATCAATTATATAGGAACTATACAGCCCGTTACTTATCGATGAAAGAAGTGTCACGTTCTTTGTGTATCTTAGCGATGTGCGACGTATTGAGCCTATCGCCATTCGCAGTGTGTTTCGGGGGCGCACATACAGATGATATGCCTAGCGCACAAATGCGTCACTAGTGATGTGCTCATAATCAAGTTCGAACATTACTTTACCAGGCTGTGTGGTAAATCTTATGCTCATTCAACTTGACTTTTTCTTGTATGTGTAGATACAGTCATTAATTTTTGCCAACATCATTGTCAATACTCTCGCTTTTGTGTGAGATCAAGATCCGCACAAGTTGGCCCGTCACCAATCGTATTCCTTACCCATTCTCTACTTTACATCGTATGTCTATCCCGACTACGAACACAGATCATCAAAATAGCAATCGAATCAGAAATAGAGTTGCATGTCGACGACAATAACGAAATACAAAACGGAGGTAGGTATACTGTTTGCGAATTTAAATTAGGAAAGGTAGTTGAAAGTAGACACAAGACCGAAAAGCTTTACAATTTGGCACGCATTTGCTTTCACCAATCTACTGAGATGTAGCTTCAATTGCTCCCTGACAGGTACTTATATGGTGACAACGATATCAGCCAACAACATCGCAGCTAGGTATGTCATTTTCATATGTGAAGAAATGCATGCAACAGTGTCTAAGCATGTTTACACAACTAGTGAGCAACATGCATATGTTTGATGCTCTGTATGCATACATAACTATCCGGGTTACCAGTACTGGATATGTTTATATACGTGTGTGATTACGGGTGTGTAGTGCGGAGTTACTATAGCAAATTCCGCTCGTGTGTGCTCACATCTAAGACAACTGTTATCACCAGTTTCTTTCCCTCGCTGTCTTGGTAGGATAATCCGGGTTACAATACAATGAAGAGGAAAACACGGTCAGAGAAATTTGTAAAAGTGTGCTTGTGACTGACCGTTCCGATTAATTGGTTCCTTTGTACTATACACAGATCAGACGTGATGGCTTTCAATATCGATAAGAAATCATGGCCATCGTTCAATAGCCAGGGCGATTTAGACGTTGAAATCAAACAACCGGGGTTCGACATGACAATTGGAATACTGGTCGAACAACCACCAGGCACGTGTTTAGTGTGTATGTGCTGACATTTGCTATTATTGACTTACTATCAATGTGCTCAGTTCTATGATCGACACGGTTATGATCTTCTTCCATGGTGTATAACCCTCGGCGCATTGAGTCTCTTGCTCAGGTGAAGCTGTTGTTGCGATGTTTCTCTGTTTGTCACCAAGCATGGTGGTTATCGTTATTTCTTAACCTTGACATAGAACCGTGTGCAGACTCTTCTCAAGCTTGGTGAACCATACTCTTAATACTAATAGCCACCTGTTCCAAACCATCCGCTACATAGGAGACGAAGATCAGGCTGCGCAATTTGCAGCGGGTGAAGTACAGTGTAATTTGCAGAGCTTCAATATGAACTTTCACAAGAATGCAAAGAACGAGTGGTTACTTAACACTGCAAGTAGGTATGTTGAATGTTTTGATATTGCTGTCAGCCATGTAGTGGGATTCGATGCTTGTCTTGCAGACTTGTCGAAAATTATTTGAACGAGCTTTGTCGTAACCTGTGTCTAACACTTCGTTGCAGAGATCGAAGCACAATAGCCTATGAAGATTCACAGATTTGGTTGAAAAATAACCAGCCAGACAAAAAGGGTCATATACATTTGTACTAGTAGAGGTCAGGCTTATACTTGCGCTCACCGTTTTTCTATTACATTTCTGATATTAATGACTACGCTTAGCTATCTTGTAGTATGTTGGACAAGATTGTTTTGATACTTTTTCCAACGCTGTACCAAGTAGAGGTCAGGCTTCACTTGCACTCGCCGGTTTTCCATTACACCCTGCTCGAGGGGTATACAAGGAATAATTCTGCATGGAGATTTTACTGCTATTTTGTAGTATTTTGGGCAAAAATGGGTTGATACATTTTCCAACGCTGTATGAACACGCCTAGCTGGTTGACTGCTTGATTTCGTGATCTGTTTCAGGTGGTTTAACCCCGCTTTGAGAAAGGCGATTGCCACTGCTGTGTCTGGCCAGTTAAAATCGCTGATGAATGAGGCTTTCGTTACTTTCTCTAAACTGTTGACGGCACAGCAAGCACTGGTAAAACGGGTAAAGGAGCGAAAAGCAGAGATGGTCTTGGCACAGGCTGTGGAATTGGGCCAGGTGTAGAGGTCGGCGTCGGGACAAGTTCCTATAGATAACTTAGCTAAAGTGTATAGGATAAGGAGCAGCGTTTAAGCGTTGGTGCATGATTGTGAAATATTTTAAATGGGTCAAAGATGGAGCATGCAACGGTAAGCAGACATGCTCAGTCTATTGCAAGAGGGATCAAGATTCAGGTCCTGAATATCTTCTACCCTCTATGGAAGAGATTAAACTAAAAAATCTAGTCGAATTCGCTATGAAAGTAAATATGTATATACATA